TCCACTTAAAGTGATGTGTTATCTCTTTTTAAGTTTTATTTTTAAAGTAATGTCCCCAAACCACATCACTTATATTGACCTCCTAATTCCAGAAGCATCTGTCTCTCTGTCCGGATGTGTATCTCGCAAACCGTTAATTTAAACGACTTCAAACCTGGCATGTCTTTTGGTAATCGTCCAGGGAAGGGTGTGTTCGGTGTAAAAAAAGTAAAAACATTGACTGTGGAATCTTCACTGCAGATAAACCAGGTTGGATGATCACAGTTTTTAAACTTCTCTCTGCACCAAAGCCTGTTTTTGAAAAGCTCTGCCCACAGCATCCAGCACACAAACAATAACAAGTGACAGTATATTGTAGAACTGTTAGAGGAGGACTCACTAATGACAAGGCATAATTCTGAAGTAGCTGCAGAGAATTAACACAGGTCAAGAGAACAGAACATTCCAAACAGGCAGGTTTAGAATGAACACTGCACTCGTCTAAGATGCGGGTGAAAAACATAGTATCTACTACCCAACGTTTCTATTCCACTCACATATTTATGAGGTCTAAATGCAGACTTTCAGCTGTAAAGGTATTTCAGTATGTTTACTTCCTGGTTGCTGGTTGGCCCTTTTTATAACTTTTTAAAACACAGCAGCACATTCTCCAAAAATAAACAAGGCACAGCAGGAGTTGTTTACAGCCCCATAGGGGAAGGTTTTCACCTGCTCTGCACTCATGTGACCTAACTCAAACTAGTTATGTATTTACTTAAAGGTGTTTATTAATGATGGCTGTAGGACTGACCTGACAGAGCATCACCAGTGATGATACCTAGGACTTTCTGCTTGGGTCAGAGACCTTAGCCAGCAATTGACTGCAAAGCACAATAATGTGTTTAGACTGTGAACAGAAAGAGTGAGACTCCTGCATTGTTCACCCACTGCTGATGTGAAGAAGTCTGCTAGAGACTTTTCATCTAGCACCATCATCAGGCCAAAGTTTGAATTTGTCCAAGACTTTGTTTTATGACACACAAACACACTACAGCATTTGAGCTTCATTTAGCGTCTACATTTTGAAAATAATGATTTATTCTCTTTTTCTTAATTTTTGCATTTACACAAACAATCATGTGATAAGTCTCTTGAAGGAGCATTATGTTAAAGGTCCAGTGTGTAAGATTTAGGTGAAAGGGATTTTTGGCGTAAATAGAATATAAAATAATCCTAGTGATTTTTTCATTGGTGTGTCTCATCTAAATTGTATGAATTGTTCTTTTCTTTACCATAGAATGGACTATTTATATCTAAAACTATTATTTACATGGAGGGGGGGTCCTCTCTGTGGAGGCCGCCATATTTTTTACTGTCATCCAAACTGGACAAACATAAACCGTTTGAGTTTTCATGACAGCTGAAATTCCCCAGAGGTTCTCCTTCATGTTGGAAAGGGTGGATGAGGGGTATTCACCTGCAACATTCAACTTCACCTCTAGATATCACAAAATTCTACACACTGAACCTTTAAATTGCAGCGTCTGCCATTTATTTGTATTTCTGGTCATTGTTATACCTGTTATGATAACAAGGTAATTGCAGATGTTTAGGAACATACAACACAGTCCAACAGAGTAAGAAGCATGAGTGGACAGACCAACGGAAAGCAAACAGTTACGACGGAGTCACGTATGGATGCGTCGGCCAAAACACTGTTTATAATAGGGTGACATCATGCATTGCTGAACTGCATTGTGGCAGCATAGCTATAATGATGAGCCAAAGTTGAACTGTGATATTGACCTATACAAGCCTGTAAGTTTCTAGAGTGGACCTTTCTATAACCTCGTAACCTGTTCAGATGTGTATGTGGCAAATATGTGTGGATGACAAAGTCAGTGTCCTGTCTACAATCACCTTAAAACGTTTTAACTGATTCCATGACAAATGGAGCGAACCCTGCGAGCTAGTTCAGGCAGCTAACTCGAGCTGCGCTGCTCCAATCATGTTACACACATCATGTGACATACCTCATTCTCCACATGATCTATTATACACACCCACATTATGAGGCGGCCTATTTAAGCAGAGAGAAATTTCCCATCAACCCCTTTGCTCACACTGCTGCTTCTGCTTCAGCCCCTCCACCACGCCAGCATACACCTGTTGGCTCTGGGGGGGGTTACAAGTATTTGCTCGTCACTCCCATCATATCTGTGTAATAATATCGGGGGAGTGATTAAGTCGGAGCCTAGACGCCAAACACAAACTTTGTTCTACTACTACAATAAACATTTGAACATGAGTTGCCTGACTGAACACAAGTTATAGCAAAAATTTATTTTAAGGACTGGACACATAACACACACATGCGCCTGCATTCAATATGCAATGACAAACCATGGGAATGGTCTATTGATGCATAAGGAGTAATTGTTACACATAATTCATGTATTTATGTCAATATTAAGAATAAATATGGAATAAAATAACAGCTCATTTTGCTGTTATTACTCTGGAGTCACACACAGATCAGTCTTATGTTAAATGCTGTTTATTTTCAATGCAAACGCGTGTCCTGTAAAATATTACATAATCTTTCACATGTTTTTTAATTTATCCTATTTTACATATTTTATATAACAGAACAAGCTGACTTGATTTAGATTTTTGAAAATTATTAATAAAGATGGAATCATCAAAATCAGTATGTGAAGATAATTAGATTTTTCATTGCTCACAATCATTTCTTCCAAACTGTCTGAATGCTGCATTTTCACCAACACTGTTCTGTTTCTTATGCCGGTTCACATTTCTGAATCTGTTTTGTGATAAACCAAGTCACCTTTTGGTCATGTTAACCTTGCAAGCATTGCAACCACTTCTTGATGTGATGTCACCTCTATATATAATCACATATGTATTGTGACATTAGCTTTCTACAGCAAATGACTGTGGCCTTCAGGAATGACCTATGACTGTCAGTAAATATGTCTGCTGACATAAATAAGGCCATGTTATGCATTGAGTATCCCTGGGACTCCCTCCACACCCTGCACCTTCCTTTCCATAACCTATCCACATTAGTGTCCTTGTGGAGTGTTTTGCCTGCACACATGAATCACACATGTTCTGTGGCCGACCTTGTATGTCCAGACTCTATGAAAGTTCATCATTTCTAGTCTATATATATTCATGTCTCCCTCCTGTTGCTGTGTAGGAAGTCTGTAAGGTATTTCCTGACCTGTACAACTGAACAGGCCTCTCTGAGATTTAAAAATGACATATTATTTCCTCCTCATTCACATATTTGAGCTGCTTTCACTGGGGCCTGGCAGTAACGTTCCCCCCGGGTGCCCGTTATCATTTGAAATGAATCCCTGAGCAGATGCAAGACACAGTTAAAACATATTTAGTTTATGTCGCTGCTTTCACTTGGATCAAATGTTCCTTTTCAAGCTGCCTCTGACAAACATGTGAATGTGCAATGTGCTGCCCCTCTCTTACTGAATTAATGCCCATAATGTGTGGTGGCATGAAGGTGGTGAGCCTTCCCTCTATTCCTCCCATCATACCTCGAATACAGTGTTCCTTGTGTGTGTGTGTGTGTGTGTGTGTGTGAGAGAGAGAGAGAGTGAGAGAGCTGCTTTTACCATCGGTGAAGGGCAAGTCCTTCAGCAGATGGGGTCAGTGCTCTAATCTGAGGGGGTGATGATATTGTGAGGATATTTAATGAGAGTATAAGAGCTAAAGCAAATGGGGGGTGGGGGCTGGGGGGAGTATTAGCCTTTTTAGATATCATTAAACATTAATACCGTCAGGGGACTGGAACACACTGGGGTCCTTTTCCATTGACTTTCATGCTGCTCGCTAATCGAGTTTCACCTCCAGGGACCTCCACACCCCCACCCACCACCCAGTGCAGCACTAAAGCTAGGGAAAGATCAGATTGCCACCCCGCTTCTGAGAATGAGATTAGTGTGTGAGTGTGTGTGTGTTAATTGTAGATTATGTGAGGTTATGCACTCTCTCCTGCTCCCTCTCTGTCCTTGGCTCATGGTGTATGATGTATGCAAAATATAACTGTTCTAAAACTATTAAATCCCTGTGGAGTTTCGCATATATTAACCCAACACTTAATCCTTAGAAGCTTTTTCAAATATCTTCCTGCATAATGTTATTTTTGTGTGTTTTCCATTATAATTATTTTGAGTATCTACAATTTCAACAGTTTTAAACTAAATATGATGTACATTTTAGACACAGGCTTTCTCCTACTAGTTGTGTATCAGTTCACCATTTGCTAATTTGTCTGTGATTTGTGTGGATTGGTCAATGCTTGTAGTCATTAGGTTGAAGCCAAGAAATATATAAAACGCAGACGATACATTAAACATATATAAAACAATAATACAGTTATACAGAGCTGACTTTTTTATGCTTTTGATTTTGTGTTCATTATATGTTAGATGATAATTACAAAATTAAAAAATTGATTAATAATACTGCATTAGTGTTACACATATATACACAAATAACTTATTTTATCAGTACAATGGTATTAAAATTGTTTAAATAATAAAATCATCAATACATTTTTTTATAGATAGTCAACTAATCAATTTAATCTTCACAGGCTGATAATTAGCAGTTGCACCTCTAATATACTCCATTTGTAGTCCAAACTTGTCCACATTACCATACATTTCTATATATACATACATACATATAGTACCCATTCAATATAGTGTTTTCATAAATTAACTTGTGTTGAAAGACAAAGGAGGACAGCAGCAATTTACTCAGTCAGATGTGCCTCCAAGTCAAACACCAACAGAGGGCAGCAATCCCCTTCTAAAGAAAACAGCTTTGTCTGCAGACACACAAACCTTTACCTTTACACTGTGTGTGTGTGTGTGTGTGTTGTGTGCATGCTCTGCAGGGAATGAATAAGCTACTGTACAAAGGTTAAGTTACAATGATTGAAACCAGCATTAATGAGTTTATCTCATTCCCAGGGATTCCTCACCTGCCTCCCCCCCTTCATCCCCAGGAGTGCTGTCTGTGAAAGCATCTGCACAGTGTAAGAAACATCAGCACAACCCAACCACTGATGAGTCATTTAGTAATTTAAGGCAAATACAAAATCTCGACATAATAATTCACTTGGAGAGCAGATGATTGCATGGAGTGTTTTTAAATATTAATTCCTGCATTAAAGCTGCATTTCCCTCTCTCTGACAGATCCACTAAATACAAGTTCCACAGTTGATTTGATCTCAGTACACATCTGCTGGTGAGGCGCAGCGAAGTAAGTGGTCGTATTGAATTGAATTCTTATGAACACATACAGTAAATGGTTCAGTTGCATCTTAATGTATTTAATTCATTTTAGTATACAGATTTATTATAGAGAGGTTAAGTAAACTTTAGCCACAGATTTCCACCAGCTAATTATTATTTACAGTTCTAGTCATGTAGAGTGTATTGTTATGTTATGAATCATGTGGCCATTACAAACATATTGCGGTACAATGTAATTATAATCTTGTGCTGAATATTAATATCAGAAATGTTGTGTTCAAAATATCTTTTTTCTTACGGTAAAAGGGGAAAGAAAATTATTTTTTTCAGTTTGGAAAACGTCTCTACAATGTTCTTATTGAGTAAAGTCAAGTGCATATTACTTTGAGCAGCAATGACAGCAGTACTATAGATTTCATGATTATAACAGTGGTAATAGACACTGTAGTATTAAAGGAAACATCTGGCATGAAAAGTGAAAGCAGTGAATCAGCATTATTAATAATTAATGGATGCATATATTGAGGTATTGCTAAGGCTCCCATCAGTATATAAAGTAGTGAAAATCAGCTCCCACACTAAACATATGTACAGTTTAACATTTATACCTATATGTATTTTTCTACTTTTGTACATAAAAAATACATTTTTTAAAATTCGTCTTCTACATTTGTTTGCTTCAACGTTATTCCACCTGTAAAAACCTGTACATTCCCTTATATGTTGGTTGAGTGTGCAACTCTTCTGATAAAAGTTTTGATCCATCCAACACCAAGCAGATGACCAACAAAATAAGAGACCAGTAAATCAAAAAGGCACCAAGATAAACATGACATTTAATGATTTATTGATTTACTGACAGATTTGTCAGATGTGAAGGAATACCACTCAAATTCAGTGTTCATGTGGCACTCACTGTGTTTGCTGGATGTGCAAGTAGGTCATTGGGCATCCTGAATCAACGAGTGGACAATCAGAATGTCACTTAAACAACCATCTAGGTTCCTATGACTCAGCCACCAAACACCAAAATGAGAAATGACTCACTAAAACACTGTTTGAACCTGACTTCCTGTCTCGACCCTGGGATGTGTTCAGGTGCATCGGCCAGACATCCGACCCCCATTCTGCTGGAAGGCTGCCAGCCACAGGTCACATGACCTGGAAGAAAAAACCTAGGAGACTTTTGGGATCCCTCTTCGGTCAGAACCACTTTTTTGTTGTAGTTAGCTGAACATGAATGAAGTTGATCTATTCAGATTGAAACCTGGTGGTTTGCTTCAAAAAGTATTGATCCAGCTCAGAAACTTATTATAAAATAATACATGTTTTGAGTATCAATATATGTTTATCACAAACATTTTTATGTCAACACATTTATAATGTAATTACATCATAACATATGACAACTTTGATAAAATAACTGTTATTACCGGGGGAAGATGCTACACCATTTCTTTTGTTTTATATAAAAATGATTTTAATGCATATGATAAATGTTATTTTAAATTTTAGGTGTTACCTTGACTTTAACTTCGATATAAAAGATATATAACACACACAGAAATATTTGTTGAATGAAAATTGGCTCCATTTAGTGGTTTGGAGGTAAACAAAGGGCCTCAAAGCTGATAGAAGCATTCATGTTTCTCTGTTTCAACTTATCTCTATATGTCCTCTGTCTTTCTCTGGGCTTTAGCATGGGCTGGCTCTCTACCTGAGGGGACGTCCAAAGGCTGATGAACTGACCTGTGTCTGTGTGAGACCACACCGCTCTGCTGTCCTTTATGCCCTGGGCACACAACATCCAGCACATATCTGGTGAGTAACAGCGCTGATTTAATGAGAGGCACTCCTTAACATTACAGAGGAGGTGATGCTAGCAGGTGTCCGAGCTTTGAAGCTTCCATGATGGTGAAGATGATGGCGTGTGAAGGTTGTGCCGCTGGCCATGAGAGGTGTCAGATGATTTTGAATTAGCCTCACATTCTAACCATCTAATTTAGTTTGGTTGAAAGGCAGGACAACAAACAAACTGTCTCCTCTTTATCTCACTTCTTTCTGTTTGCTTCAGTCCATCTCCAGACCTTTGGATAAAATAACACACCACTTTCAGTCCATATTTCTTTTATAGTTCCCTCTCTGCTGTTGGATTGTTCTATTATTAAGCTTTAGAGCTACACTCACAAACGATTATTACAAATTATGGTAGAAAAACAAACAACAAAGCATTCTCACAGGGCTCTAGGATGTTTACCCCTCCGACACTGAACACCACTTTCAGCCGGCAGGGTCATTTGTCAAGGGTCGTGAGCAGGAGGTGAGTGAACCATGTGCACCACCCACAATTCATTTTTATGTTTCTATAATTTAAATCTTCAGGTGATTAACTTGTCAGGTCCTTACAATTTGTTGGGTCATGCTTGTCTTCTTTATTTCTTCTTTATTAAGACCCCATTATTAGTAGTTGTACAGAAATCAGGTACCACCTACCAGACTGAATCACAATACTGATTTCTGTACTGAAATAGCTTTCCTGCTCACAGGCAACATTAACATCTCTGCATGTGTCTAGTTAACATTACACTATCTTTATATCTCTGGCAGCACTTAACATTAAATGTAAATGGTCTGTTTTGTAGAGTGCATTTCTAGTCTTGATGACCACTCAAAACACTTTCAGTGTATTTATGGGCAGCACTATTAGGGGCAATTGGGGGTTCAGCATTTTGCCCATGGAAGAGGAAGACCGGGATAGAACCGCCGACCTTCTTGTTAGAGGTTAGCCAAACTGGAGTCAACACAACATCAAAATGCCCACAGTTGAAAAGTGTGACAGTATTTCATGGGAAAGGGTTTATCATGTGATCATATTATTCACATTTGTTTTGAGTTTTGCTCTTATTTATATTTGTATATTTAAGTTAAGTATTCTTTAAACAGTCATTAGTTGTTATTTTGAATTTCAACTTCCGATTGCCTTTGAAATAAAATAGCTGTTCACAGTTTAGGCACCGATTTCAAAAACCCAAACAATACCCAACCCTAATCATTGTTAGCGATGATTATGATAGCGATTATCTTTTATTTATGATACCTAATGTATAAATAGAAGAAATTTGTCATTCACACCACATGGAACATGTGGTGTAAGTGCAGCTCTCCCTCACACCATTCTCCTGTGCATGTTTTAATATCTACATTCATTATCTTGGATGTGAAAACATCAGATTTTCTCACAGTGGCGTCTTGGTCATAGCTCAGTTTTAAAACCTTACAACTGCTGACAGCACTGTGGGCCAGACACCAGAACAGAGAGTGCCGGCGCAGCCAAGAGAAACGCCCCCCTGCCTGGTACTGCCTCGAGTCACACTGCCCTCTGTTCCCATCACCTGTCTCTGCTTCCATCTCTGTTAGTTTTGTGGTTCAGTCATTTCAAGACAAGTCTCAGTCTGTTAAGTTCACAGCGGCCACACTGTTGCTCTGTGCACTGAGAGGCAGACGCAAAAATACTAGAAAAGCACGTAGTAGAGACCCGTAGCAGAGACCTGCATAAAAATGTAATTGTTTCTCTGTTGGCCCATGTCCCATCCTTCCATCATGTTTTGTGTAAATCTGTTAATTAAGCTGCTTTCAGACATGCACTGAACTCTGGAGAGCCTCAGCACTTTCTCCACAGGGGCTGTATGTATGAGCGACTGGGGGGGTTGATGACGTTTCTAACAAGCGACAGAAAATGAAAAAAACAAAAATAATACATATGTCTCTGCATGAAAAAGCGACGGACGAAGATGTCCAGAGAGTTTGTTTAAATACAAATGAGCTGTAAACAAAAACATGTGATCTATGCAGCGGAATTTATACTGTGCATCCTGTCCCCGCTCCTGCACCACCCCTCAGCTGAATCCTTGCTGTGTTGTGTATGTGTTAAAGGCAAACTCTGAAAGAAGTCCAGATCCTATTCTGCTAACAGGTCTTATCTGAAAACGACTTTAGGTATCTAGTACTTTACATAATCTTGCTGACAAACAAACAAACAGACAGACAGGGGTGAAAACATGACCTGCCTGGCAGAGGTAAAAATACACTAAGTCGACAAGGGGACTTTTTGTCTGATGCGTCTAATTGTCGACTTTGCACTTTTGGGCCTTGACATTCATAATGTCATTGTGACGTCTATCAACAAGGGCAGCAGAGTACAACTTCCTTCAGGCAGGTTTTCCCCTTTGTCAGTGTAACAGCTTCAGCCATTTTTGCAGTTACAAAGAAAAGGCAAAACAGACAGGTTTGAAAAAAAAATCACATCAATGTCAAGTTTTAATGAACACATATACCCCAAAGGGAAAAACACACATATGGGCTACTCTAAGTTAATAGATAAAGTTTGGCCATTGTTGACACTGTTTGGATGTAGGAATTAATCTAAACATGTCTGTCAGCCACAAACACAGATTGGTAAATCAAGACAAGTCAGCATGTAGCTCCCTGAATATAAACAAACAATTAGGCTTCTCAGTTTCCAGTTCATAAGTCTGGTTCTTTTTGCAGATAAGATTTCCAACATTAGCAAACTATGTGTTACTGCAGATTGCAAACCATCCATTTTATTTGCAAGCAAGCATATCTGGGATACCGCTACATCTTCATTTATTATAGAACTCAGTATTTCTACTCCTTCCCAGCGTTTCCTTACTTCTGTGCAGAGAATGACTCTTGATAAACAACAAAACTTTACCAACCTGAAAACATTAAGCAATATATGGTTTTCTTAGCAGAGGTCATGGCCTGTCGGAGATATATTCTTTTTGATATATGCATATTTGCTTTTATATCCATGCAGATATTATAGTCATATAATTGAATGTTTCTATGACTACAGCTCCCATAATCCTGTGGGAGTGACGTCACCAGAAAGTACTGAAACATGAGCCTGATCGCTGGTGTTGTTTACGTAACGTGCAGGGGAGATGGAGTTATTTTGTGGAATTAATTGTTTAATTCAGAACGTTCAGTGCAGATTTCATTCAGCAGAGGGGACAGGATGGAAGCTTCAGCTGCTCCAGGCGTGTTTCTTCTGTCTTTGAGGGATAATATCTTCAAGTGAGGGGGAGGTCGGTGGAGCAGCGAGGCTTTGGGAGGAGGCTGTCGGTAACGCTGTTACCAGCATTTGTTCGGCCTCGCAGAGTTTTCCTTGAGTCAGAAAGTAGTTGAAGACGTCCCATTCACACTCTGAGTGAATCTTGAAGCAGACTACTTCCCTGGAGGACTCAGACTCATTCTGATTGAGAGAGAAAAACGACCCACGGAGGCACAACGATCATGTGGTCAATAGCTGAGATGCTGAAKCAACTGGTARYGATACTGCAGCAGCAGTGCGAGAAAAGGGGTTGATGGGAAATTTTTCTCTGCTTAAATAGRCCGCCTAATRAGGTGGGTGTGTATATTAGATGATTGTGGAGAATGAGGTATGTCACATGATGTGTGTCACATGATTGGAGCAGCGCAGCTCGAGTTAGCTGCCTGAACTACCTCACAGGGTTCGCTCCATAAGAATTTATTTTTTAATGTTATTATTATTATTATTTAATTATGGCTAAATAACACATGATTTGTGGTTGTGGTTATTCATTTCAACTTAAAATGCTAATGTCAAATTTCACCTCATACTGTAAAAGTAGATTTATGTGCTCACACATTCAGCTCTGGTCCATTCATTTTGTCTAAGAAGAAGTGGAAGTTTGTTTGCTATGTGCTGATTTTGGGGAATTATCTATTAGCTATTCTTTAACTGTGCGAGAGCCTGAAGATGGCCAACCAAAATTTATGWATGTAAAAATGCATCCGACCATCTGATGGGCATCTGATCACTCCCACCCACSTGTACACTGCTTAACAAATGAAGCATGGCATAGTGGAAATTTGGTTGTCTAAAATCAGTCATGCTACTCAGAAATCAGGCTCATATCGCACAGTGTAGGTGTAAAACAAGAAAAATGTTGCTTGTTTGTTTACACTCCAGATTTATTTTAGATTATACATTTAATTACTTTGTTTTCAGAAATTACAARATCAGAACTATGAGAAAAAAGTCATATATTATGTGACTGACCGCAAACTTATTTTTCACTATTCCTTACTTTGTTTTTCTTCATCTCCTTTTCACCACCACTTAGCATCTCACATATGGCACAGTGCTGCAACTCACTCTGTTCGTATCCTGTGTTCAGCTGTCAAAGGTCAAAATGCCTCAGGATCAAAGGAACTTGTGTGCTCTCAAAATAAGAATTACTGAATTGAATGATGTGGCCTGAGAGTGAGAACAACCTCTCACAAGGCACTGTGGTTGCAGGGGTTGACAGGTACTGGGGGCAATGGGTGCCAGCCTGGCATGTGCTCCTCTCTCTTTGACCACCATTGTAGTTGACACCCCTCTATGTCCATTTTTGGCTCTGCTTTGTAGCGATCCAGACAATGCTCTATGGACTCCTCCTGGTCATCTGTATCTGAATCAGAAGAACCCAGCAAGATGGACGTCCTCCTCTTCTTTGGTGACGGGAGAGAGTAATAAGTAAATGCAGTACACCTGAGCCACCTGCCCACTCTCTCCCTGGCATCAATCCCTGAGCCACCTGCCCACTCTCTCCCTCCTGCCTCCGACACTAACCACTCCCCACTACCACAGTTATAAATAATTCATTTGTCACAGTTCACACAGGAACATGACAACCAGGGGTGCTCCCGTATCTGCTCCAGTGTTGCACGTTTGTCAGAATGTGGAGCCAGACACATGTTCAGCAGATCCTGGCACTCTGAGAAGAGAGACAATTAAAGAGAAAGGAAAGATTAGTCTGGAATCTGCATTGATATACTGCAACATGGAAGGAACACTATAACTGCACACTATTAATACCAAAACACAGCTACTGTGATTTTACCTTGGGACAGCTCWTTGCTGATYTTCACCTCACTGCGGATGAAGGCTCTGGTGTCAAACTCTATGCTTCCATCCAACAACTCAAACAGCACCGCACCCAACTGCCAGACTGTGGTGGGGACGGCCTCGTAACTGTWAGTTGAAAAMAACTCTGGAGGAGCAWACRYWCTGGTTCCTGTATGCAAAATAGAAGTAGATTGAAAGAAACAAAGGATAACGGAACAGGCGAAGTTTTCAATGAACGTCAGGAACAGAACCGTACCAGAGAAGGAGTGGTAAGGGCCGTCTTTTGCATAGCAGCCACATCCAAAGTCTATGATCCGCACTCGAGGACCATCAGAAGTGGTTTGGATCAGGATGTTTTCCAGTTTGAGGTCCCGATGGAACGTTTTCATGGCGTGCATGTCTATGGCTGCCTCCACCAGCTGCTTCATGATGATCTGAAACAGAAATACAGAGACACAGATGAGTTAGAGTGGTGAAGAAGGGACTGAAGTTACACTGATTATTGTCAAAGTAGCAGCTTTTCATCAAACAGGCTTGATGGAGTAACAGTCCTGGAGCTTTCCACCAGAGCTCAATGCTCAGAAACTAGTGTTTAAAGAACTTTTGTTGAAATWGATTTTTGATCTAGTTTTGGTTGGAGCCAAATTAAATGTATTCAAAGKGATGACAGGTTCAGAAGTAGTCTAGTGCAGCTTAAAAAATGTCTGACACACTCAAACAGCTTCAGTACCTTTGCCTTGTGCTCGTCCAGTAGACCACAGTTGTCCTGTAGGTAGTCAAACAGGTCGACACAGGGGACCGGTCTTTCCATGACCAGGAAAACCTCCTCGCCCAGATCGTACCAATCTAATAACTGTACGACTGCAGATTTGCCTACGAAGCCTGCTGGACCTCCTGCTACCACCATGTTCAGCACCTCAAAGGGGATTTGATGTTCCTGCCCCTCGAAGACCTGATGGAAAACAATACACAATATTAGTGTTTCTGTAACTGTGGCTGTGTGTTTTCCTCATCAACAGTACAAAAACAAAACAAAAATAAAATGATTAATCTGAACAAGTTACTCACAAATGTTACAAACTTCACAGTATATTTTTGGATGCATTTGATCGCAACCTGTAAGAGAGAATCATATATCAGTACATCTGGTCAGCACAGTATGGTGAAAGTATGGATGGGGACTGTGGCCCAATCCCATTTGACCCCTTCTCCTTCCCTTGTTTTCGAGGGTTATCATGCCCCTTGAAACAGAGTCCCAAGGGTTAGAAGTTGAAATCTTCCCCTATGAAGTGGGACAGCCATTCAAGAAGCTGTTACGTCAGACATGTCAAACTTAAGGACCGTGGGCCACTTCTGGCTTGTGGTACAATTATATCCAGCCAGCGATAAAATATCGTATGTCCATCTTAACTGGCCCGCCTGTAAATGGGACGCACACTTTTTTGGTGAAAAGCTCTATAGGCTGAGCCACGGTGCACAATGCCCGGCTAGACGCAAAGGAGCGAGCGAGCGAGCGCTCCTCCCCACTCCACTTACTCACTAATTTGATGATATAAAATAATTCTTCTAGTGTTCCAGAGATCCCAGTGCCTGCTCCGTAAAGTTCACCCACAAACTTTACTTTGTGATGAAGATGAACAAAAACCCACACCTTCACTCCATCAGCCACTTTCCACAGCACAGAACCTAACCCCAAACATTAATGAACTGGCAGCCAATAAAAGATGCCAAACATCTGGTTCTGGCACATGTACATAAGAGACGAATGTAGCCTACCTAAATATGTTTTCTTTTTGCACTTTATCCAATATCCTKTTTATCCTGTTTAATAAATGTTGACKATGTTTGGTCCTCAACATAGTCCCAGTTTTTAATTTTGGCCCTCTCTGTGTTTGAGTTTGACACCACTGATTTAGATCTTCAGTAATTGTCCCGAAAACACAACAGACATAACAAAAGGTTTTCCAGGGATGTCATTGTAATAACATTGTTGAGATCTTAAATAAACCAGTGCTAGTGCCAGCTGTTACTAAAGTGACACATTGATAATATCTAAATAACATCTATGCTAATGCAGGTGGCTCAATGACATTTGAAATTGAAAAGCTTGGATGATGCTCTGCATTATTTCATGTATGAATACAAAGCAGACAGCTTCAGGCTGCTAGCAGTGGCTAACTGTGCCAGGATGCTTTGTTGTTAGAGGAGCAGTTAAGTTCAGTAACATCACTGATATNAGCAGCTTTTCATCAAACAGGCTTGATGGAGTAACAGTCCTGGAGCTTTCCACCAGAGCTCAATGCTCAGAAACTAGTGTTTAAAGAACTTATGTTGAAATTGATTTTTGATATAGTTTTGGTTGGAGCCAAATTAAATGTATTCAAAGTGATGACAGGTTCAGAAGTAGTCTAGTGCAGCTTAAAAAACAGCTTCAGTACCTTTGCCTTGTGCTCGTCCAGTTGATCACCGTTTTCCTTCAGGTGGTCAAACAGGTCGACACAGGGGACCGGTCTTTCCATGACCAAGAAAACCTCCTCGCCCAGATCGTACCAATCTAATAACTGTACGACTGCAGATTTGCCCATAAAGCCTGCTGGACCTGCTGCTACCACCATGATGAGCACCTCCAAGGGGATTTGATGTTTCTGCCCCTCGAAGACCTGATGGAAAACAATACACAATATTAGTGTTTCTGTAACTGTGGCTGTGTATGTGTTTTTCTCATCAACAACAGAAATACAAAAACAAAAAATATATAAAATGATAAACTCACAAATGTTACAAACTTCACAGTATCTTTTGGGATGCATTTGATCGCAACCTGTAAGAGAGAATCATATATCAGTACATCTGGTCAGCACAGTATGGAGAAAGTATGGATGGTGACTGTGGCCCAATCCCATTTGACCCCTTCTCCTTCCCTTGTTTTCGAGGGTTATCATGCCCCTTGAAACAGAGTCCCAAGGGTTAGTAGTTGAAATCTTCCCCTACAAAGTGGGACAGCCATTCAAGAAGCTGTTACGTCAGACATGTCAAACTTAAGGACTGTGGGCCACTTCTGGCTTGTGGTACAATTATATCCAGCCAGCGATAAAATATCGTATGTCCATCTTAACTGGCCTGTATATGGGACGCACACTTTTTTGGTGAAAAGCTCTATAGACTGAGCCACGGTGCACAATGACCCGGCTAGACGCACAGGGGCGAGCGAGCGCTCCTCCCCACTCCACTTACTCACTGAGTATTTGATGATATAATTTTTTTTTCCTAGTGTTCTAGAGATCCCACTGCCTGCTCCGTAAAGTTCACCCACAAACTTTACTTTGTGATGAAGATGAACAAAAACCCACACCTTCACTCCATCAGCCACTTTCCACAGCACAGAACCTAACYCCAAACATTAWTGAACTGGCAGMCAATAAAAGATGCCWAACATCTGGTTCTGGCACATGTACATAAGAGACGAATGTAGCCTACCTAAATATGTTTTCTTTTTGCACTTTATCCAATATCCTGTTTATCCTGTTTAATAAATGTTGACGATGTTTGGTCCTGGAAGTAGTCACAGTTTTTAATTTTGACCCTCTGAAATTGAAAAGCTTGGATGATGCTCTGCATTATTTCATGTATGAATACAAAGCACACAGCTTCAGGCTGCTAGCAGTGGCTAACTGTGCCAGGATGCTTTGTTGTTAGAGGAGCAGTTAAGTTCAGTAACATCACTGATAGACACTGTTTAAAACAAATGCATCGTGTAGCTTCAAAGAGGGAAGGTGCAACATGAAATTGTGTGAAAATACGGGATATCATGCAGAAAGTTAGCGTTAGCATGCTAATGGCAGCTAACTAAACAAAGGATAAGGGCAAAGTGGTAGGGAGAAGGGGGGGAAATGGGATTGGGCCTGTATGTATTTGTGATGTGAAATAAGATACGTTTCCACTTACTGGTAGAGAATCAGATTTTCTTAAGCCAGCGTAGACTGATCCAAAGCCTCCTTCACCAACCTCCTGAAGCTTCTGGTACTTGTCATTGAAGTCAGCTACACACATACGTTTATAGTTGTGATAAACATGAACAAAATATTGAATCATTCCTCTAATTTGATTAAGTGCATTTTTTAAAACATAAGATCATATCATCACAATCAGATTCAGCTGAATGTTGATACACAGGAATATTGAAACATCACCCAACCATAGTCAACTGCACTAATCCTAACTTTAACCCTGATTCAGATTTCAAAACCAAACTACACAGTATTATCTGTTGGGATCTTATTTTGTGAAAACAGGAGCACACTTGTTTTCTTTCTCACACAACTTACAGCTGCTGTAGTGACCGATGAGGAAAGAGAATCTGCTGCCATTGATGGATGATTGGCCTCTGGAAATTGGGGAAGGGTCAGTTTCACTGTTTTCACCCCTCTTCCTTTTGCTGGGCGTCTCTGCCTCTCTGCCGGCCTTTCCCTTGGTGGCCCTTTGTGGCAACATGTTGTTGTTGATCTTAATTATTACCAAATAAGAAAATATCCGACAGACAATATCAACAAACTGTGTCTTACTCTATGGAAATCTTGAGTATCACTGAGTTGCAGCTCCCTATGATCTGATCTGAGGTTGACTTTGATCTTAGATTATAGGAAAATATGAAGTAGGAAAATACATTTTCAGTTAAATTTTCTCCTTCAAAGGTACAGTGTGTAGAATTGTGTGATAAAATGCCTAAGGATCAGAGGAACTTGTGTGGTCACAAAATAAAAATTACATTTGTGTTTATGACAAAAGATTAGTCCATCTGACAAATGATTGTCTGGCTCTTGTGGTAGAAATGAATTGGTTATAGGTTATTGTGACAGGCTCGTGCCACCGCGGGTTCCTCGACACAGATGAGTCTGGTCAGTGCTTAGTTAATTATTTTATTACTTTCTCACACACACACATATATACACAATTGTCCTCCTGGGTTCTTTCGGTTAGCCTCCAGCTACTCCTCCTGACCTTGTGTCCAAGCACGCTACTGCTGATAAAGGGGGGGACAGTAATAAGTAAATGCAGTACACCTGTACACCATCAGACTCTCTCCCTGGCACCAATCCCTGCGCCACCTGCCCACTCTCTATCCTGCCACCAACACTAACCACCCCCCACTACCACAGTTCTAAATAATTCATTTGTCACAGTTCACACAGGAACATGACAACCAGGGGTGCTCCCGTATCTGCTCCAGTGTTGCACGTTTGTCAGAATGTGGAGTCAGACACATGTTCAGCAGATCCTGGSACTCTGAGAAGAGAGACAATTAAAGAGAAAGGAAAGATTAGTCTGGAATCTGCATTGATATACTGCAACATGGAAGGAACACTWTAACTGCACACTATTAATACCAAAACACAGCTACTGTGATTTTACCTTGGGACAGCTCATTGCTGATTTTCACCTCACTGCGGATGAAGGCTYTGGTGTCAAATTCTATGCTTCCATCCAACAACTCAAACAGCACCGCACCCAACTGCCAGACTGTGGTGGGGACGGCCTCGTAACTGTHAGTTGAAAAAAACTCTGGAGGAGCAWACGCACTGGTTCCTGTATGCAAAATAGAAGTAGATTGAAAGAAACAAAGGATAACGGAACAGGCGAAGTTTTCAATGAACGTCAGGAACAGAACCGTACCAGAATACGAGTGGTAAGGGCCTTCTTTTGCATAGCAGCCACATCCAGAGTCTATGATCCGCACTCGAGGACCACCAGAGGTGGTTTGGATCAGGATGTTTTCCAGTTTGAGGTCTCGATGGAACATTTCCATGGTGTGCATGTCTATGGCTGCTTCCACCAGCTGCTTCATGATGATCTGAAACAGAAATACAGAGACACAGATGAGTTAGAGTGGTGAAGAAGGGACTGAAGTTACACTTGCCCATCAAAGACCTGATGGAAAACAATACACAATATTAGTGTTTCTGTAACTGTGGCTGTGTATGTGTTTTCCTCATCAACAACAGAAATACAAAAACAAAAAAAATATAAAATGATTAATCAAATGTTGCAACTTCACAGTATCTTTTGGGATGCATTTGATCGCACCTGTAAGACAGCATCATATTTCAGTACATCTGGTCAGCACAGTATGGTGAAAGTATGGATGGTGACTGTGGCCCAATCCCATTTGACCCCTTCTCCTTCCCTTGTTTTCGAAGGTTATCATGCCCCTTGAAGCAGAGTCACAAGGGTTAGTGGTTAACCTACGAAGTGGGACAGCCATTCAAGAAGCTGTTACGTCAGACATGTCAAACTTAAGGACCTAGGGCCACTTCTGGCTTGTGGTACAATTATATCCAGCCGGCGATAAAATATTGTATGTCCATCTTACCTGGCCCGCCTGTAAATAGGACGCACACTTTTTTGGTGAAAAGCTCTATAGGCCGAGCCACGGTGCACAATGCCCGGCTAGACGCACAGGAGCGAGCGAGCACTCCTCCCCACTCCACTTACTCACTGAGTATTTGATGATATAAATTTTTTTTTCTAGTGTTGCAGAGATCCCAGTGCCTACTCCGTCAAGTTCACCCACAAGCTTTACTTTGTGATGAAGATGTACAAAAACCCACACCTTCACTCCATCAGCCACTTTCCACAGCACAGAACCTAACCCCAAACATTATTGAACTGGCAGACAATAAAAGATGCCAAACATCTGGTTCTGGCACATGTACATAAAAGAAGAATGTAGCCTACCTAAATATGTTTTCTTTTTGCACTTTATCCAATATCCTGTTTATCCTGTTTAATAAATACTGACTATGTTGGTCCCAGTTTTTAATTTTGTCCCTCTCTGTGATTGCACACTTATTTTCTTTCTCACACAACTTACCTCTGCTGCTGTGGCCGATGAGGAAAGAGAATCTGCTGTCATCAAAGGCAAGGCACTTAACATCTTCTAAAGACCTAAAATCTTATGAAGAGAGTAAAGGTGCCCTATCTTGCAATGTTAAAGAAAGAGAAAAAAAAGAAAGAAAAATACTTGATTCATCCCTTTGTCTGGATCTTTGACAAAATTTAATTAGTGATATTTTATTTGCCCATGTCCCATCCTTCAACCAGGTGTCATGGAAATCTGCTCTGTTAGTTTCTGTATAATCCTGCTGATAAACAAACAAACCATCTAACAAACAGACAGGGGAGAGACCCTCCTTGGTGGAGGTAATAAGGCTTTGTGCTATTTTTTAACGTGCATTGTTAATTAGCAGCAAGAACGATGTAATGGTTCTAGATGCATCACTCTCTTAGAAATACTGTTTTTCTATTGAACAGTATGAACATCATTAGAGAAAACTAAATATTGCAGCCGAACAAAGAGAAGTTGACGAATGCCCTAACAGTCTTCCCAACATTAACAAGCACACATTATTATTAAACACTGGAATTGTTTCCAATGCAGATCAACTTTCACCACCCTTTATTCTCTGCTGACACTAAAAGCTTTGGATGCTCTGAACAATAATCAGTACTTCTGAAACTGAGGACTAGATAGAATAACACATCAGGCACAGTTATCTCTCTCATCTCATTCTTTTATCTTCTTCCTAAAGCACTTTTTCCATCAACCAAATTTCTGTTAATAACTCAGGGATTGGCAGGGAGCCAGAGAGCTGCAGGATTATGGGCTGAGATCTCTGTAATGACCATAGGTGTGGAAATTGAAACAGTCAAGTGTGATGGGCAACTGGGACCAAATTGGAAACATTTACTTTCACATTCTTCAGTTTAATATGTGGTAGCAAAAGTAGTGTGCTGTTAAAAAAGGGAAAATGGATACTGGAGTCCAAAATAGTAGCCATTAATTACTTCCGCCAAGGAGGTTATACATTCACCTCTTTCCGTTTGTTTTTTGGTTGTATGTTTTGCTTGTACACTACTAGATGGATTAAACCTAGTGGAAGGTTGCAGTATGGGTCAAGTAAGAACCCACTAAATCTAGAAGAGGAACCGAATTTGGGGGTTGAGTTTTTTTTCTCTTTCTTTAACATCGCAAGGCAGGGTGTTACTGAATTTCCTTTTTTTTCTTGATTGTGAAAAAAAAAAAATGTTCAGGGGACTGTGTTCAATTTGGTGCAGATCCAAATAAAAATCCAGATCAAGTGAATGAAAATTTAGTTTTATGAGGGGACTGATAGGTCTTGGTAGAGGATTGTCATTCTAGTGTCAGTTTAAATACAGAAAGTTTTATTGTGTCATGATGTCATTGGTTTGACCTATTCTACGCAGCTCTGTCTGTAGACTTTGCAATGATGATGCCATATTCTCGAAAAATCACTTTTCTAAGTGTTGGGAAAGTTTGGCATTAACAAAAGCCCCCATAGTTTGAAATTGTGCAACATGAGGGGTAATGACATCATTGTTTCCCACAGAATAAGATTCAATCTTGCTCCTGGAAGGGGTACGCACAGTTCATTCTGATGCACTACAGAGCCAGAGTGAGAGGTACACAGAGAGTGCGGGTGGCTGCCTGCTGAGAACTACATGCCCCTTGTGGGAACACACACAGCTGAAACTATGAGTTCTATCTGTCTGTGAGGATGGTTAAAACTTATGGATGTTTTGAAGGCTCATCATCGCAGCAGGATTTCTCCCAGTGCAGCTGCTGAGGAGGGTGGGGGAGGAGACAAGGGTAGAAAGAGAGCATGTATCAACTGTATACACTATTAACACGTAAGAATGAACCCACAACAAAAACCCCCGTTTCGTGTTCATAACCACAGTCCTTGTATTTGTTTTCTTAGCAGGTGAGCTCTACTTAGTTCTGTGCCTGAATGTACATAAAAAGCTGGACAAGGTGTCTGACATTTCTGCTGTTGTACACAAATGAAGCTATACATATTCCAGGTACAGGTGCTGCCATCTTTCACTGATGACATTTGAAACCAGAGTTTGCAAATGTGTGATCATGATGTGGATGTTATTGAGGTCCTGAAAATACACCCGCTGGACTAATCATGTCTCAGCTGTCAATCATGACATTGACCATTTTTATAGCATCAAACAACTGAATAAAAATAAAATGTATTAGTAACATGAGGACTTGGACATACACCAGTGTGACAAGAGCTATGTAAAATTACAGAAACCATCTTTGGAAATAGTTAATCATTTTTATGAGATCCATCTCCCATCTGCTGACGTGCTTATAACCTTTACTGTAGCCAGCCAGCAGGGGGTGATCCAAATGATTTGGTTTCACTTTTGTGAGCTGTCATGTCAGCCATCTTTATTTGCAGTCTATGGCCTGAAGTAGCTTTTACACTCTTAAATGTTAAGATATTGTAATATTTAACCTATTCAGCTGTCTTAGTAAATCCACGATAAAACAAATACTCAACCCTCAGTAATAATTTTTGTGACGTATTTGCCACAAAGACATAACTCAGGAGTACAACATACAACTTGAATGTCAAATTCTGATTCTTTCTCTTTACACTATAAAATGTGAATACATA